GAGGAACGAGCTGGCGCCGTGGCTCGGTGTGAGCCGCGGAGAGCAGGAGCAGGTTTGTTTCGTGGTTAAACTGAGTTTATTCGGTGGCTGGTATTAACAGCTAAGATGGGGATACAGCAGGGTAGGGGGAGGAGCGTGACTGTGGGAATGAGTTTATTCAGTGGCTGAGTCAATACCACTGACGTGAGCTATTTGCCTCTATATCCGGCATCTATGTCAGCTGCTCTGCTGCATCCTTTTGTTCCTGGGATAACACTAGTAAGGCACATCGGTGGTTTTTATGTAGGCTCTCGTACTTGGCAGATGCTTTTCCCTCCTTCTTAAACAGCTGCTTCAACGTGTGCTTTCATTTGTTTGTAATTATTAAGGGTGCTGCAGCTGAAGATGCGAATAAATTGCATTAATCATTAACTGTTACCTTCGTGGTTTACAGTGAAGTTAAAGTGACAACGAAATATATTGGTTGGCTGATCTCCCGTAACCCGGTGTGAATTGCATTAAAGCAGAAGAAACCGTGCCCATTTCATAACGCTGCTGTTGTGTTATGGTAACATTACATCTTGTGATAACGATGGCAGTTTGTTGTAAACTGAGTTCACCTGAGTCAAATAGGTATTTTAGCAAATTATTCAGGGCTGTTAGCACACTTAAATAGCAATTAAGCTGTCTTAAAGTTGCGACATGCCTAGTGCCTAACGCGATGCTTACTTTAGCAGTTGGTATCTTTGATGCTTCTATAGTTTAGCATTTCCTTTTCGTTTTCTGTTAGTGTGTTAACTTACTCTGTGGGACACGTTAATCTGCTGTAAGATAGGGGCAACAAGAGATGAGTGCACTGTAAGCCTGTGCTGGATCTGCCCACGTAGATCTTATTGCTGGATCAGCACATAAAGGCTTAGCAAAATCAATGTGATTACTGAAGGTAGTGAGCACAAGGTATGAGAGGAAGTGTTTGATAGTCTGCTCCATGAACAAAACAAATGCAACCAATCGGCTCCATGTAGGCTTAGTGCTGCTTTCGGTGTCCAGCCTCTCCACAATGCTTTGGTGTTATAGGTACATTTTCTGCCATTATATAAGCTCTTCAGTGAATCTTTTCAGGCTAATGAGCTTAGACACTTATTCATTTTGTTCTCTATGTCTTTTGTGCGTGTTTAGGGCCTTTCATTCAGAGATCCCTTAGCACTTGAATCGGAGGTCAGAAGACTGGTAACCGAACCTATGCTTTGCTGGGTTCGCAAAAATTTTAAAAAAAGGCTTGCTTGCTCTGGTGTTACTTCATTGTAAAAGTGATATTTCGTAGTTTATTCAAGTTAACCATGGCTCAGACTTCTCGTGTGCTACTAGTTTGGAGTATTTTTATATATATAAAATGTATGTATGTATATAATTTATATATTGTCCCTGATATCTCCTTCACCCACCCACCCAAGTGAAATCAAAGAGTGAATAAACAAAATGAGACCCCTCTTTCCCCAGATGTTTAGCTGCTGTGGTTTAATCAGTTCACCAGTTGTGGGAAAACAAGTAGTTAGTCAGTTCATATCAATTCATAGTGAAATAATTAGCCTGTCCAAAATTCAAACAATTTTGGAGAAAAATACCAGTCATATAAACAATGGTGGTGCCCCCTCCCCCCCACTGTGTGTGTGTTACGTGCTTTGTGAAGGGAGGAGAATTCTACTATATTTCTTAATTCTACCACTCTTGATTCTACCATGTTTCCTTTTTTACTGCCAAGTTGGAAGTATGAGAAAATTAAAAAGTTCTCACGTGGGTGATTAATGTAACTCCCTTAGATTTGAAGAAAGCTTTGGGGCAAAAAGCACTCTCCTACTTGGGCAGTTTATTCTCAAATGTGTTCCAGTGCATCTTTTTAAAGCAGAAATTTATGTCCCTCTAATCATTCTTTGGGAGAGGAGCCAGAGAGCCCTAGTAGTTTCAAACCGGTTGTGACTGCCAGTAGGAGTATGTAGCATGTTTTAGCTTGATGTCAGATCATGCTTCCTTGAATGTATTTTGACTCATTAAAAGTGAGGTCAGATGGGAGAACGTGCTGCTTGTCATGTAAACTACGGCTCGGCTTGTTGGGACTCTTTACTCACAGTTTCGTTTGAGTGTTCTTCCTAGTATGGCCGCTACGCGTTTGAGATAAACAGCAAGTTTTGTCAGTCCGGGATAAACATTAATACAGATTTTATTTGTGAATAATCTTAAGCGCTGTGGAGGTGCATTTAGTAGCTGCGTGCTAGAGCAACCAGTTCTGATCACCTTCCACTGGGCTTTTCCTTGCCTGCACTGGGTGCCAAAAGAAGGTGTCCCCTTGTACTTTTTCCCTCTGTTCTTCTCACACCATTTGTCACTTGCTGCTCATTTTTTAGTAATAGGTGTCTTTGCAGATCCTGACCATTATAATTCTTCCAATAGATGCTCCTATCTCCAAAATGGTTACTGGGGGACGTATAGCTTTCTGGCCTGTCTTCTAACTGCAGTTGCCATGTGCTTTTTTTTGCAGGTGTGGCCTTTTGCTGTGAAGGTGTTGCTACAAGGCAAATCTGCCTTCCTGATGTAGTGCTTACAGTGTGGCCTTTTTATTTTGAAATTTAGACGCCAGCAATCATCATAAATCAAATAATATTGTCTCTCTGGCTCATGCTGACTAGTCTGAGCAAAGGCTGCTTTTTCCCAGTTAACACTTCGTTATCTGAAAAGCCCAGCATGTAGTATAGAGTTGGTGTACATCCTGTGATTGTGCACAAGAGCTTTGTGCACACCCTAAATTCCTTGTTTGTGAATACAGCTTGGGGAAACCAGACTGTAAACCACCAGGACTCTTAAGAGTATGATGCTTACATGGTCATCAGTATAATGGCGTAGTTGATAATTGGTACTAAGGATAAACTGTTTCAGCTTCAGAAAGTCAGGTTGAAAAGAGGCGAACTTGTTATGGCATACGTCCCTTCCTCTGTCTCTGGTACAGTTCCCAGAGCCAAAACCTTGCTATAAAAAAACCAAGTGTGGACACTCTAAGGTGCACTTCAGAAGTCAAGAACTCAGCGTTAAAATTTAGATACTGTACAAATAATGTTTCAAAAGTAGTTTCAGCTGTTGTATTTGTATTTTTAGGCTTTCTTTTCTTTCTTGAATATTTTTAGCTCAGTGGTGAAGATATCAAAACCTGAAAAAATAAATCAACAATACTGAAAGCACTCTCCTTCAGGTGGCATAAATTAAGTTACACAGGAGTTGTGATGACATAATATACACGTGTGAAATCATTATCTGCCTGATAATGGGAAATAATGTTGCATTGGAAACGGTATGCTTTTGAGAAATTGGAGGTCTTTCCCTCTGTAATCATGGCTAATAAAGTGGCTGAATGGTCAAATGATTCTTCTTATGTGTCTTAATGAGAACATTGGAATTGCGATTGGGTAGGGAATATATTTAAATATTTGGAACAGATAGAGCAATAGAAGTCTATCAGTACCCCTCAGGACATTAAGTGGTATGTTTATGAGTTAAGAATATTTCCAAAACCTGTTTGTTTCCAATTGTTTCCAGTTGAAACATGTCACTAATGAACATACCGGTAAATATTGTTTTGCATTTAGTTAATCTGCACATAAAATACAAATGAAGCCATTTAAAAACAGAAATAAAAATCCTCAACGTAACTACAGAAGGGTCATACATGAGGCACTCTTGCTCTTTTGTCAAATCTCAGTGCATCTCATCCCATAGGTATAACTACAAAAAAGGGAAAAAGCAGTAAATCTCAACTTGTAGCGTATACAGCTGTCCTGGCCAAGGAAAGGGAAAAAAAAGGGGGTAGAGGGAAGAGGCTGAAGTGATGGCATTAAAATTGTTAACTGTTACTACATGTGAGAACTCTGGATTTCTCATGCTACCGAGTTCTTTATTTTGGCTTATTAGCAGTGAAATCTTTTAATTTAACTGCAAGGAAATGTACGCTAGCATGGTACTTCAGCTGTGTAAGGAAATGTAATGCCCACCTCAAGCTTCTGATGGTTTGAATTGTGGTGTGACCCGTTAAGGTAGGATAGGAGAGGTGGCAGATGGCATTGAATGGGAGATGTTTGTTAGAGGGCCAGGGCAAAGAAAGTTGAATGGGGCCTGAGAATGGCAGCCTGCCTGATGTATATAAAAATCAGAGTTTGACAGGGCCTTTGGAGGTAGAAGGAAGAAGGAGAATGTAAAATTGCAGACAGGGGAATTATATAGTAGGGGGCTAGGGGATGAAAACTTTGTTTCAAAAAGGAACGTAAAAGTAGAACAAGGAAGCGGGGTGACTAGTGTAATTGAGTGATAAGTAGATAACTGAAGCTTCAAACTGCAGAGAGAAACGTGGCCTATTAAAGTATTAATAGTTGAGGAGAGAGGGGACATTTTATTTGACTAGCTCCAGAGGTAGGTAGCAACAAAACATAGCTTTTTAGGGGTGTTTTTGTGGATGAAAGAGGAAGAAACATGTCACTCTTGTCTCCGGTACGTGTTTATGAGCTTTCTCACAGCAGCAGTGTATGTTATCTGAATTCACCATATTCATGGTTTTTTTCTGTGCATAATTGATAAATGTAAGATGGGTTTTAGTTTCATTGCTTTTAATGAAATGATGTCTGGCTGGCCCAACAGGTTCCTGGGTGGAGTTACAGATGAATGGCAATGGCAATAGCAACGATAATGGCAATGGGAAAAATGGAGGTCTGGAACATGTCCCTTCATCGTCCTCCATCCACAATGGAGACATGGAAAAAATTCTCCTGGACGCCCAGCATGAATCAGGACAGAGCAGTTCAAGAGGTAGTTCCCACTGTGACAGGTAAAGAAATGTTTGCTGTCCTGTGTGCGATTTATTGCAGTTTCTATGCTGTAGATGTTAATGGAGGGGTAAAGCTTTTTCTCAGGCTTAAGTTTGTCATGGTCCAGTATTGGGAGTACTTGCTGCCTCATGACAACTGGCTATCAAATAAGACGTCTGACTTGAAAAATACATCATTGCTACAGAAAGCTAATGAATCCAGGAGCAGGAAAATCACATCAACACGACACTTAAATTTCACATTGTCATAAATCACATGTGGTGTAAAAAATACCTAATTTTACTGGCTCATTAATAATAGTGCTATCTACATGTGCTTTCTATTTAGTCAAGCATACTAAAATATATCACTGGACTTAACAGAAAAAAAGATTCTCAGAATTTTTACTCCTTGCTTTCAGTATTCTACTTTTTTTACTGTGAAAGCAAAATATTTCTTACTTAACAATATAATCCTTCGAGGCACATATGAGCATTATGGTATTCTTACGTGTTCATTCTACCTTTCTTCTAGGAAGTTTTGGGGCAGTTTTGGAAATCCTTGAGCAGTTTCTGTATATAACTCTAGCTGTCCTGCTGCTCGTGCCTCCTTTGGTTTTGCTGGGTGAATGCTGTCTAACTGTTGTGTCTACTGTGCAGCTTATATAAGTGGTTGATCAGATATAAAAGCTATTTAAAATTAGTTAGGCCTGATTTAATTACTGAATGAATGTAGTAGACTGAAAATAATCCATATGAGTATTTCAAATAGAGCAGTTACATTTATAGAAAATAAAGTTTGCTACATCTGTGTTGCTAAGAAACTAGCTGTCGGTAGCTTAGTACTTCCCAGTCCAACCAGGAATGTTTGCTAGGTGGTGGTTGTATAGTTCTTTTACTAGCATAGAATTTTTCAAATCATTACCCACATTTTAAGTGAATGAAGACAGATTTATCTTTTTTTATTTTATATTTATTTAAACTTAATTTTCCACTTGTTAACTTTTTGGTAATTTTTTTCCCCTTTTGACAGTTGAAGTAACATACAGGAAAGGGGAGGTACTTTGATACTTTGCATTCTTTTCTAAAAGTTCTAAACAGTAAGTTGCTCTTAAACGTGGTGTTTTATTTTTTGGATATTTCTAGAATATGCCTTTTTCATGAAAGCTTAAGTCAGGTTAAAAAGATGCCCTTAGCATTTTAATGAGACACATCTGCATTGGTGCATTTTGTATTGTTCCTCACTTCAATTCTCTAGCGTTTCCTTGGTTGAGGTGCTATAGTTGATTGATTTCTCAAGTAGGTTACCAAATTTTTAATATTCAAAGTGAGGCTAACAAGAGGAATATGTATTCTTGCCAAGTATTAAAAGGTGTTTTGGTGTGTGAGTTTTCCGCTTGTAATGATACACAGAGGGGTATAATTCACAAGAGTGGCAGTGTTACCTAAAAGCAGGAAGGGATCTACATATTTTGTGTGGCAGTTGAAGTTTTGGGCAGTGGTTTCATTCCATCAGTGGAAGGACAGTCAACCCTGTTGAGAAAGGTAGGATTACAGATGGGGAAAAAAATTGAAAAGACGTGGGGGTTTGGAAGACTTTCTAATATGATTCTATAGGTGACAGAGTGTGGTATGACAAAATGACATAATGAAATTGATTTTTCTTTAGCCCTTCACCTCAAGAAGATGGACAGATAACTTTTGATGTGGAAATGCACACAAGTAAAGACAGTAGTTCTCAGGTATTTTCTTCATTAACCTTTAAAATACATTAACTTCTAAAAATATATTGAAGTTGTGGATATTGTGTATAGATTATATATTTATATAGATCAGCACTGGGAGTAGTCAAGGGCTAGAGCAAGCTCTCTGTCATGTCACGAGGTATAAATGGTATGTATTTCACACGTCAAAAAAATTGCATTAAACTACTGCTTGCTAGCACTCTTTTTTTTTTTTTTTTTCATTCTGAGACCCTAAACTTGGCTGTTAGCTGCAGTACAAGCAAATGAAATATATAAACCTTATTTATTCAAAATTTGGAGGTGTCCCTTAGTCGTTTGGGTAAGGCTGTTTACTTGTCTTGTACTTTGGTCTTGCAGGTTTTTACTCAATCTTTTTTATTAGACCTTTATATAGTACCTCGCTGTAAATAGGTATAGTAAGTAATCTTCGTGCACTCAAGCTTATGTCAGTTTAACCAAATTATCTTTTCTTTTAAGGGGTTGTTTTCAGAATATAGTTTTATTAAGTTAAAACACATTTCAGAACAATTATTTTTTAACAACGAGGCAGGGCTGGTAAACCTTGTTTAGGTTTACATTCTGTATTAATTGCAGTTTGACTTGTAGAGATTAATAGCTTTGGAGCGAAGGGAAAACTGAGGCTCCACTTCTAAAGCTGAGAAATGCCCTGGTTAGTAGCAGTCATATTATTGTTTAACACTCTGCTTAGACTGTGTGTGTCAAACCTGTTCTGTTTTTGAAATGTTTATATTTCTGCACAAGATTTCAGGGTGTTCAGTTTATTGCTCTACAGTCAGCTCACATGATAATGAGTAATCTCCGTAATGCAAACTGAGAGGAGACTAATGCTGAACTCTTAGTTAGATCATTTAATAGAATTTGCTGTCTTCAGCAGTATAAATAAAAAGGATTCCTGGAAGAATGAAACCTTGCATTTAGTTTTGTTAAAGACCTGGCCCAACAGTAGGACCGTTGCAGTTCTGCCCTATAGAGCCAGAACGATTGGAATGGAGTTGTTGGTTAGGTCTGCCGTCTTTTGTGACTGTCATATTTGATTACTTCTGGTTTTGGTACGGTTCCCACTTCAATTTTGTAAGTGGTTTATCTTATTTTACTAAGGGTCACTCAGGAAATTGTTTTAATGCTTTGTACCAAAGTCGGTGGCGTTCTCTAGTCTTTCTAATTTATTTGTTTCCTATATGGTAATATGTGCATCTAATGATGTCATGTCAAATCTTTGTATCAAGACAATTGCCTTGCCCTACTGCAACTGGGACGCGCCCAGTAGAAGCTGCTAGTTGCAAGTAATACAGATTTTAAATGACTAATAACACCTTTCAAAAGGTCAAAATACTGGTTTTGAAACCTTTTTATTTGGCTGTGTTTCTGTGCTTTAGCCGCATTGTGTACGCTTTAAATCGAATGCCATCAACTTCAAGGTTTTGCCATTTGTAAAAACTTAGTTTAGGGTTTGGTTTTGGGTTTGTTTTTTTTTTTTTTTTGCATAATGCTGGTTTATTACATTTAGGATTAAAATAATCATTTTTTTTCATTAGCTTTAAAAAAACCAAACAAACAACTTGCAATGATGTGGAAGTCATCTGCATATAATAACCAAAATTGTGGTATACTGACTTCTGCAGATCCTCCTGTTAGTGTAATAAAAATCTCTTCTAAATAATCAGTAGGCCAAGAACACTTGCTCGTTTATCAGGTGCCACCATTTGGTGCTTATCATTTTACCACTGTTGTTGTCTCTCTCAAATTAACACCATAAGGAGGAGCTAATTGAGTGTTACAAGGCTTGTCCCATGTATATTTTCAGTCTGAAGAAGAAGCAGGAGAAGGAGAGAAAGAGTTGGAAGTTTTGAAGAAAAGTGCTGGCTGGGTGTCAGACTGGTCAAGTAGGCCTGAAAACATTCCTCCCAAGTGAGTTAAACTCTTTTTTAATTAATATTCTTTTATATGAAGGAGAGAAGAATCATAAGTCACGATTGCAAGGAATTACCCTGGCTCTCCAAATAAGATCATCTTAGAAAAAGGTAGATTTCTCCTTAGGGAGGCTACAAAAAGTCAAAACCATGAAGTATGAAAATCTTAATAGCAACAGAATTACCTTTTTATTGAAAGTAAGATAAATCCACAGAAATATGATTACAACATTTCTTGACAAGATTATAATTATTGGGAGAGCTGGGTACTTGGAGCTGGGATTCATGGGATTTAGTTTTGGCTTATTGAATGGAATAGTGTTGAGCAAGTCTCCTAAATTCTCTGTACCTTTTTTTCTTTCTATGTAAAATATGTAATGTTCATCCACGGAAGGGGAAACGTTGATCCTTGAATGCAAAGCATTTTTATTAAAATAGAAGATGCTGTCTAAATCTGGCAGACTTCTGTATCTCTGTTTGGAACAAAAAATGAGGCTCTTGCTAACAAATCACATCCTGAAATTCCCTCTCTCGGACCTACCTCTCTCTTCAGCTACTGCTCCCTTTGTCTCTATACTGTCTGTGTAAGTGGTCTCTCCACAATACCTCCTATTATTCTCTTTGATTCCTTACTCTGTGTAAGGGATCTCTTGCTTTGATCTCTAGCTCTTTGTACTTTTAAAAAAAATGTTCCTATAGAGATCTGTGCATTTGTGTGGGAAAAAAAAAAAAGGAAACAAAAAAATCTTGTTGAATTTTTCCCCCTCCCCCTCTTCTTTCAGGGAATTTCATTTCAGACATCCTAAACGTTCAGTGTCTTTAAGTATGAGAAAAAGTGGAGCAATGAAAAAAGGTGGCATTTTCTCTGCAGAATTTCTTAAGGTTTTCATTCCATCTCTGTTCATATCTCATGTTTTGGCTTTGGGACTAGGGTAAGTATTAACCTAATTCTCACTTCAACTTTTGCATCTGGCTTTGCTTTTCCACTTTACATATATGTCAGATGCCCGCTGAAAAGGGCTTTATCTAGAATAACTAGAGTATTGTTGTACCTTGCCCAAGATAGACTTGGTGCACTTTTTGAAACGGAGGAGAACTTTGCAGCAATTAAAACTTTGCAGCCATTATTATGTTTTATTTCTAGAATAGATCAAGTTTCTTACGTTGAAAATGCATGGATTATCATGAACTTGCTAATAACCTTTGCAATTATAACGTGCCATTTGATTATCCACGCCTTCTACTTAAATGCTTCAGGTTATAATGTAAGGAAAGTAGTAAGACTAGAATAGGTGGAAACCTGCTGTAACTTTTACTAACGATTACAAAACCCCGTTGTACAAATACTGATGCTGAAGTTCTGTGTGTATGGCACGTACTCCGTAATTTTCAATGTCTAATACTGCAGTTGTGTGATATTAGTGCAAGTCAAGCTTTGAATACTTAAAGAAAGATACATGAAATACTGGATGTGTCCTGCAAGATCAGCTGTGACTCTGCCCAGCAATGTTTTCATTGCCTGCGTAATCCAACATAATCTCTCAGTTTGCTTAAGCCCTTGCGCTGAGTTTATCCATCTTACATTCTTCTGTGATGGGCGCAAAGACATGTACTCAAAATCTGTTTTTATTTATGTTCATATTTGTTTCTGGGGGTGTAGTTCAAGTGTCTCTCTGAATTCTTGTAAACTATCAAATAAATTAGGAACATAGAAGATACGAGAATATATTGTAAGCTGTTTGTACTATAGCAAAATTGTGTATTTCTGCGACGAATTCAATCTTGCCTGGATTTGTTAGCGGTCAGCATTTGCGTAGATCCTCAGTGTTGTAAAGCACACCCCCTCCCTTTATAGTCAGTACTTTATTTGTTTTACCGTAGTCATCTGGGAGTGTTGTTCAGCTGTCCAAGAGCCCCTGTGTCAGGTACTCTGCAAACAACACAAAAGCTTTTGGACTGGGGTTTTCAAATGAACTCGGGACGGGAAGACACCCACTTTTGCTGAACGTTGATAGCATCGGTCCTTCTAGGCTCATCTGAAAACCTCACTTTTTAAGGAATTTTGTAGAAAAGCAGTCCTTGGACAAGTCTCATCAGGCTTACTTGAAAGACAAATTAGAATAGCGGAGTGCATGAGGGCTGTTCGGAAAACAGGGTATTTCTGTGAAATACGATATGCCTTATACTTTTTATTTCAGCATCTACATTGGAAAACGACTGACCACACCTTCAGCCAGCACTTATTGAAAGATGGAGTGCAAAACCTGGAATTCCACGTGACCTGTGAAGGTGTTACTGTCTCATTTAGTACATTTGACTTGAGACCATTTTACGCATGACCCTGACTTCACCCTTTCCTTACATATCCAGGTTTTCGCTAACTCTGGAATTCAGTATTGTGTTGGAACTCTGTTGAGGTGTTTCGCTATCCACATTCTTTCCCTCTCTCCTCCCATTCCCCTGCCTCTTGGCCTGCAAGACACGTCAGAGTTGCTGAACGGAGTTTACAACTGTCTATATGTTGCAAGGGCTTCTCTCAATGCAAAATGCCACCAGCAAGTTTTAATTTTATCAGTGATGCTGTTGCCTCCTTAGTGCAACCAGACTTAAATTGCAGTTGTGCATGGTATAAATGTTGACTGTATTATGGTGACAAAATTAAGTCTCTTCAGAGTGAAAATGAATTTTTCTTTCGGAAAAACAAGCTGGTTGTGAAATAAACTAAGAAATCGCTGGCAATAAAAAACAGCTTTTGGGGGAATTTACTTGGCCCCTTGTATTGGCTAACATCATTTGATTTGCGGGAGGCAAAAACTGCATAAATTTTAAAGTAGGATAACTAAATCCATCAGCATATTTTAATATTAGGTAATTGTTGTAATCTTGTCTTTTCTATGAAGTCAGCTCCTTATTCCTTGTAGGAAAACCTGTCTGATGCCTAGAAAATATTAGAAAAATTGCATTGTTTGCATGTGAAGAAGCTTTTCTTTTCCTTACCTGTTTTCTTAAGGGAAAATTTTAAATGTGAAATTTTCCTTTTAAAAGTAGTTTTAAATTAAGGAAAAAAACCCAACAGCTGTAGGTGTAGTTTGGCTCTGTACAAAAGGATATGATTCTGTTTGTTGTGGAACCATTTACAATGATGATGATATGGCAGTTTCAGAAAGTAAAGCGTTTGACTTATCTTTAAGGGGGACAATCTTGCAGGTGCGTAAAGATTCGGAAGTTGTAAAGCTCTGAAATGTCTTCTGCAAATGAGTTTTCAATATTCCTCTCTCATTGTTTACTGTACAATCTCCTCTGGGGATACATGGAATCTGAAAGTCACTCGTGATGTCTCATGTTAGATAGACTTCTCACTAATGTTGTTGAACTTTTATCTTAGGGAACATTAAGCCTTGTCCTCCTTCAGTGACACTTCAAAATGTGAAGCTTTAGTACCAAATTGTTACAAAGCATTAGGACAGTCATGTCCTTAAATAGATTTTATTGGATTTCAGAACATGTAGCATGACTCTGGAGGGTAGAATACTCTTTTTTTTATATATATATGAATATATAAAAAAAAAAAAAGATATAGACTTTAATACTAAGTATTTAGGGAACCAATGCTAATTTTAAGACTAGCAAAAATCTCATTTAAATAAAAACTTTAGTAGGCTGGCTTGTAGAAAATGATAAGAAAATATAGTCAGCCAGTTTGGAGAGAACCTATAATTGTTTGCTTGTATCAGACTTTATAAAGTTGAGTATTTGATATAGCAGTGATCGCTTGAAACAGTTGATGCATAGAAGCTAAATCCCAATTGAGATTTGGTTTAAAAGAATTTAGGTAGCTCCCAGGAAGTAAAAAAGTATAAATCCACTGCTAAACTGTATTTATTTTTATTCTCTGCTTCTGAATGCTGTTAGAGGATGCTTTCAGGGTGAAAGGGCAGTCTAACAAAAAAAAAAAATCTCTTGAAGACATCTGCTTTTTTCTTCTAGTTGTGAATACTAGTGGCACTTGAGTTGCCTACAACTGCATATTTGTTTCAAGCGTGGATATTGGGTTTCACCCAAAGGTGGGGGAGGGAAGGGGGAAGTGGTGAAGGGTGTCTTTGACAGTATCAAGTACATCATTTTACAGTCCTTAAAACTGAGGGGACGGGAGAAAGGCTGAAACACTTTGTTCTAATTACAGCACCTTGTTTTGTATGGAAATTGGAATAGTGGAAAAATAGATTTTTACGAAGTAGGGAGTACTTTTTTCAAAAAAAAAAAAAAATTACCCCTTTCTAAATTAAATGGTAATTCTTCTTCAGAATATCTGATATATGATATTGCAAGCTTGTGGCTAGAGTATCAACACAGTTTATAATATTTGAAGGAGCCGTGAAGTAAAAATGTTGAAAACTATAGGCGAGGAATGGATGGATACGTGATCACTGTAACGCTTGCTATGATACAATGCAGTATTTATTGATACCCTACTATAAGCTTTGGATGAAAGTCTACAACTTCTAGTTTTACAATGAACAGAAACAGATTGTTGTATAATTTGAAAAGGGGTTTCAACTATTGATAGTTGAAGTTTTGTTAAGATAAATGTTGTTTAAAAAGCTTTATACCTGTTTACAGTTTTGGAAAAAATGCAGGCTTCATTTTTCTTACATTCAGTGAAAACTGGCCGAGAATATTTGTAAATAGGATCAAGAAAAAAAAAATGCATAAACTCGCACATTAAAAATGCAGCAGGCTAACTTCAGCAAATGCATATTTACTTACTGTTTTCAAAAGTGAAAGCTGAAGATTGTTAAAAATTCAAATTTTTTAATTGACATTTGTTGAAATATTGGAGTTAACTGAGCCAAAGTGATTATGCATTCTTCATAAATTAGTTAGCACTTTGTAACATTATATACAGTTTACAGTACATGTATAAGTTGTAGCTTATAAACATTTTGTGCCATTAAAGCTCTCACAAAACTGGTTGTCTGAAATTACTTCATGCTGCGCCTTTTGTCTCTTTCTTCTATTTTTTTTGTTTTCAGGACTGCTTTGTCTAATGTTTTATGAAACTATTGTGTTCTGGGTTATATGAACATTGAAGCTGCTGTTTATAGATTGGAATAATTTTTTGAAAGATTATGTGGGGGTTTAAGTGACTTGGGATCATCCGCTTCTTTTCCTGAAGCACTTAAAAATATTCCTGTTGTCAGCATTGTATACCCGCGCCAAGTCCTCCAGCACCTTGTCAAGGAAAACTTCTAAAGCAAAATTATGTAGTGGCATATGAAATGTAAAGTAGAATTGATGAGATTTTGTATAATTGGTCAACTCTATTGTACTCCTTGTATGTCTCTTCTGTTTCCTAATTCTGTTAAATTTGCAGATTAAAGAATAAGGGACATAAACCCTAATTGTTAATCTGCCTCCATATTCTTGGTTCAAGAGCACTGGTTATTTCTAGGAGTATTGTATGGAGAGTTGTTCATTTGAAGTGTGGAATGTCATCATTCTGATACTGTTACTGGCCATTTTGCTTACCTAGTGATTCTTTTCTGTGTTTTCAATGTAAAAAAGACCCAGAACATTGTGAGAATGGGACACTTCTTTTTTTTTTTTTTTTTTTTTTTTTTTTTTTTTTTTTTTTTTTTTTTCAGAGGAGTAAGCTAGATAAATTTATAAATCCTACTTCCAGGAAGTTTAGATGTCTGGAACTTACAGTGAAACTTGGCCTCAAAGTTTTGAATTACCACTACTTTGAAACTGCTTTGGAGAGCAGGGTTGTGGGGGTTTTGAGCAGGTTGTGTCTCTGCAGCCAACTGAAACACACTTACTCAGTAGGTGTTGTGTGCTTCAAAACTTTTTTAGTTGTAATGCAATGTTTTGCAAAGGAATAAGTACAAGATAATATTGCATAAAGCAGCAATATCTTTGCACTAAGATTATTCTGGTATAAATCACATTTTGATGGAGTTTGAGGACTGTCTTCAAGTTTCTTTTCATTCTGGTATGAGTGTTCAAGTAAAGACTGAAGGGATTTATTTGTGTATTTAGAGCAGCATAGTGATACGGCTTATCTGTTCAACTAAAGGCAATGGAGCTAGCCAAATGAGCTGTGTGGTGTCTTGCTTTCCTGTGTGACCAGCACCCAGAACTGTGTTTCATGTTACGTTCTGGGAAAGTTACCTTCTACCTTTACTTAACTACGGTGCACCTAGAGATTTTGCTAAGTTAGCTATTCACATGAGACTTACAGGGGATGTTGAGTCCTGCTTAGACTCTGCTTTCAAACTTAACTTTATACCTATGGAAAGATTAGAATTTACTTTGAATTCTGTGTTAAAGTTCTATATAAAAATGTTATTTATACATTTGTGTACATGTGCATACATGTAAAAATTCTATATAAAAATGAAATCCTGGTTCTGTGCCAGTGTTTGTAGGATCTTTGCCTTGTACTTAGTTATATCTGAAGATTCCTGTGTGATGTGGGTCTTGAAAACCAAATAAAATGCTAGGACTCTAGCTAGGACTCTGCCGTATAGTTCAATTGTAACTTTAAAACCAAAACGAAAACCTGAAGACACTCCTGGAAGAATCTCGTGCTGCATACAGCATCCATGTGAAAAAGCTAAATTAATTTCCGTGCCATTAAATCACTCTGTGTCCTGCAGTGTCTGTCAGCTTGGCTAAGCGCAGCTGACTCAGCCCAACTTCTGCTTGCAGTACTTAAAGGCTGATTAGTCTTGACGTTAGGGGGAGAGCAAGTGGTGGTTTTCCATTAAGGAAAGTAAACATGACTTAACTTTTTGAGCTGCTGCCAGAAAACTGAGAGTATGGAAACTAGCATTTTCTATTTTAAACGGTTTCCTAACGCTTTTCTGATAAGATTGTGGAGTTTGCATAGAGAGGCTTTTTTTTCATTGGTACAGTTTGTTTAACTTGCAGTTTGTTGTCTAAAGACAAATTAATGAATTTTAAGGCCAGAAAAACACCATAAGTGCTTATTCTGGTGTATACCACGGAAGGGATGAATAGCGAGTCCTACAGCTGTTTAAGTTGTTACAGTTAAGGTGTTTAATTTAGGTCACAGAAGGACACATGTATCCTTGCAAAAATTTTGGTGTATGGAGTTGTGCTGGACCTCCCACTTTTCCCACTTGACTCAGCCTTTAACTTGCGTCTTCAGACCGAAGTTTAAATTTCAGCTGCCGGATCCTGGAATGCCTTTCTGTGGTAGATGAAGGAGCCTTTGACTCTCAGGTGCATATTCATTATAGACTGTGTCTCCTAAGTGTGTGGTTTAATGACAATCTCTGTATTTTAAGACAAATCTATTCTGGGAATTTTCATAACCTTTTACTCCTGACGTGTAACATGCATCTAAATACCTGTTGGGAGACAGTCATTTATCTGTGACCAATAGAAAAATGTGTGCAAAATCTTCGGTGAAGCATCCTTCTTTTACCCCTCCTTTCCTTAAAAAACCCCTCAAACTTCCCCATCTACTTTAAAAATGTTACATGAGCTTTTGACCAAAGAAAATATAAAAGGTGCACGTGTGGCATTTCAAATGGAAGCTACACTCCTCATTCTTCGAGGTTGTTTTGTGGACTGGAGCAAGCGAGTTGTTTGTCCTTCAGGTAGTGTACAGAGCTTTTGTGAGACCATTCTGACAGATCTGCACCTGGAACGACCTGCCTCCTCTGCAGCTTACTAGCGATTGAAAACCTCTTGCTTCTGCTTTACCATTATTCACCACAAAGTTCATTGCTTGGATGCTTCTGTTCTCATCTTGCTTCGTTGCACTCCTCTTTCCTATGGTCTGCCCAGTCTTCGCTGTTGAGTGCTCCTTCCGTTTCCTTCATTTGCTTGTGTTTTCGTGCTGCTTCTCATTGCTGGTCAAATAACATGAGGGAGCACAGTCTCTTCGTGTACCCATCTATTTCATGAAGAGTTTCAGTTACTGAGACAAAATTCTGCCTTGTTTTGCTGTGTATTTCCTGGTTCCACAAGATCTGCAGTTCCTTCAGGTGGGTATGTGGTCACTTCACAGCTTCAGACCTTGCACTCTGTGGTTGATCTGTGGAATTGGATCTGGTAAAGCCCAGGAGGGGGTGTGTTCAAGAGTCGCTGTTTTGCTTTTGCCGCAAAGGAAGTAGGTTATAAAGAAAGTGGTCTGTCATGTTTCTAGGGAAGAGGGTGATGTGGGCTTAATAAGTAAGCTAAATTGAGAGTCATCTCCATCTGATTGGAATCATCTTCTGGACTTTTCTGTCTGAGAAGTCATCCTGAAGGCCTGGAGGATGCTTTGTGACCAGTGTTCGCTTCCAGTGGTGCTGGATAAAACATAATTGTTTACAGCTCTGAATTTTCATACAGAAGGGAGCTCACAGAAATAAGTCACTGTTTCTGCCAGCGTTCTGCTGGTCGTTGGACAGGGGAGTAAGATTAAGCTATAGCTGCCAATATCTTGAGTTTCAGAAAGACTTCAGTTAGGGCTGGTGAGAGGGTGGTGAGTCAAGCTGGCACTGACAGAAGTCCTGGTCGTCTGCCTGGTGCTCTGCAGTCTGCCTCAGATGGGCAGAGGTCCGTAGCAATCCCTGCCCTGCCTAGCAGCGCAGCTGAGCAGCCGAGGTCTGAACAAGCGGTGGAAACTGGCTGCCTGTACAGCGCTGGGACAGCGTGGCAGGGTTTGGTGTGGCTGTGCTGCCCCAGTGGCGGGAAAGAACAGAGCGTTCCTTTTCTTAGGGTTGTCTAATCAGCTCTAGTTGCAGGATTCTGCTTTGTAAAAATACAGATATTTTTGTAAATATTGATAAGGTAGGAACAAATATTCATATCGGACTCAAGGCAAGTTGGATACTGGAGTTGGAATTTTTCAGCTTGATCTTTGCAAACTCAGAAGTAAAGCCCTGTAGTGTTTGTGTGATTGCTATCCAGGGTTGGAGCAGTGGTCAAATATTTTTGCAATGAGTGTAACAAAAATCGATTTGTACTTACAGGCTTTTTAGGTACTGCAGTTACTTGGGTTTAAAGCCGTGTGCCTAGAGTGCAGCCTACAGTCTCCTTTTGAATTCTCAGAGAGGGCCTGGATTTTTCCCTCTCGCATGGGTAGGCTGTACCAGAACCAGGAGTCTATAGAGAATTGCTTACTTGATGTGCCAATTGTCGTTTTATTTCAGGGAGAAGCAATTGACAATTACAGCTGCTTCCTTAAGAGCACTGTCTGAGAGGCAGGAGAGATCTCTGGGGTTCCTACCAGTTGCTCTAATAGCTTGCTTCCTCCCGTGACAGCATTATGTGCCCATTTCCTATTTCTCCTCCTAGATGGCAGCTGCAGTGAAGCATCCCTGGTGCAAACAGCGTGCGCTTGCAAGCCTCAGTTCACAGCATTGCAGCTTACCCTGATCTGATGTTGGGCTTTGCTTCTGTGTGCTAAGAATGAAGTCTTGCCTACTTAAATTAAAGAATGAGGTCTTGTCTACTTAAATTAACAGAGGTATCTGGGGGAAGTCAGAACATAACCCTAGCTTAAAATTCTCTGCTGTCGTTTCACCAGGTTGCAGGCATGATTGGGCTATCTGGCTGGACGTGAATTGC